CAAGGAGGTGCAGAGAGAGACCAAGGAGGTGCAGAGAGAGACCAAGGAGGTGCAGAGAGAGACCAAGGAGGTGCAGAGAAACAAAGTGCTAAATCAAGTCTCATATTCTGAAGCAACAGAAAAGGTCTCACTAAACTAGCTATCCCAAGGAGCAGCAAGTATATTCTCTTCAGAGGATTTTCCCACACACCCACAGGCAAAGGAAAGCTCCACAAAGTGTTCTCAGTGTGTGATCGGAGAGGATGCATTGATTGGTAAGAAGTACAAATTTGTGGCCTTTATTGGAAAAGTGGTGAATGTTGCTTTGCAACAAAAAAAGAGGTCACGACTGAAAACAGTAGTGGAAGCAGCAGGTGCTGTGATGATTCACAGAGGAGTGAGTAGATGGATGGTGTTTCTCATTCTGCAGTGGAATGCTAGAAGCCTTATTGCAAATGGACAAGAATTCAAGACCTATATATATCAGTTAAAAGAAAAAACAGACGTTATTTGTATTCAAGAAACATGGCTGAAGAATCATTTGGACTTCATTAGGGGATGTAGTGCTATAAGACAAGATAGAAATGATGGTCAGGGGGGGGGTGCAATCTTTATCAGAGAAGTCATGTCTTATAGTCGGCTAACATTTAAGAGCAGTCATGATTTAGAAATAGTGGGTGTAGAAGTTTGGATTAATAAAAGGAAAATTAGTGTCCTGAATTTTTATAATCCATGTAATAAACTCAAAATAGAGGAATTAGACAGTCTTTGTCAAGGAAATGAAATAATATGGTGTGGTGATTTTAATGCACATAATACAATGTGGGGAGGGGGATCAACAGATTACAACGGACAGGTGGTGGAGGACTTAATGGAGACAAAGGAATTAGTTTGTTTAAATAATGGGCAAGGTACAAGACTCCATTTTAGAGATGGAACAGAGTCTGCGATCGATCTAACTCTGGTAACAAGTGAATTAGCTTCTGGTAGCAGTTGGGAAGTATTGGCAGATAACAGTATTGGGAGTGATCATCTTCTGATTATAATCAAGTGTGATATAAGTCATGTGGTTGAGCTAGACGGTATCATGAGATGGACTTTCTCTAAAGCAAACTGGGAGATGTTTGCTAAATTGTGTGATAATGAATTTGATCAGATTGATATGGCAGGAAGTATTGATGATATAAATGAGCAATTTACTTCAGATATAATTAAAAGCGCTAATCAATCTATTGGGAATAAAACTGGTAAACTTAGTAAATGTGTTAAGATGGTGCCGTGGTGGAACAAAGAATGTAATGATGCAATCCGAAACAAAATCAGGCTGTTTGGAAAGCTAAGAAAGACACATTCATTACACAATTTAGAATATAAGAAGGCACAGGCTCAGGTAAGGAAAACTGTTAAAAGAGCAAAAAGGGAGTGTTGGAGAGGATTCTGTTCAAGTATTGGGAGAACTACGCCATTAGATAAAGTATGGGGAACGATTAAGAAGATGAGGGGAATTAGACAGCAGAGTAACCTGCCAGTGTTAGAGACTGGAGGGAAGTTGGTGCTATGGAGAAGGCAGACATTCTAGCTACACATGTTGTTAAAGTTCATTCTTCTGAACATGTGACAGAAGAAGGTAAGATCAGGAGGCAGGAAGTGTTAGATGAGCATCCTAATGTATATGAAGAAAGACATTCGTCGCAGAGTGTTGTAAATGTACCTTTTTCTATTCAAGAGTTGAGAAGAGCATTAAGTAAGTGTAAAATGACTGTGTTGTGGAGGTCCAGTACTCACACAACAGGAAAGAATGAAACAGAGAGGAATCAATGAAACACAAACACAGAAATAGTTGAGCTTAATCATTATTATTTAGTTGCGCACCACCAAACAACAATGGGGAAACATTACCTTGCTTCAACAGCAACCAATCGCAGAAATGCTCCCACAAATATTCAGAAACACACGACACTTATAGGTTTCCTAAATGACACACGAACATGTTCCCTAATCATGTTTAACGCACACACATTGTCAGGTCTCCTAAACTTGGACGCACCAACATCAGAGCAACATGTAAGTTCCAGATGTCACACACCAACATCCTTATCGTTTCTTAGCTAATGCATGCTGGATATGAACCACTAACTAACAAGACTTTAACTGTATTATATCTGAGGAAGACCTCTCTTGGAGTTCCTCTGACCTTTGCCAATTTACTTAACATGGGTACATCTGCTGTTAATTGCAAAGACCATTGATAATTAGCAAAGAGACTCATGGGCCTCTTCCAATATCTGGAAACTGTAATTAAATTATAGTTATATTGAGAAGGTCCAAGACTTGATATAACAACTGCTCCTGGGAAAGATCATGTATGTTATATAATGTTGACCAAATGAAGTGATTTTGCATTAGGAAAGCTGCTGGAGATGTATAATAAGATCTGGGAGAAAGGGAAGCTGCCAATAATATGGAAAGAGTCTGTCATTATTCCTATTAGAAAACCTGGGAAAGATCCAACTAGTCCAGGCAGTGATAGACCTATAACTCTGACACTTGTGTAAAGTTATGGAAAGAATGATAACAGAAAGGCTGACATACTACGTTGAGAAAAATGAACTAATGACTCCTTATCAGAGTGGGTTTAGAAGAGGGCGGAGTACTTTAGACCCCCTGCTGTGCCTGGAGTCTGAAGTCAGGAAAGCCCAAGCGAATAAGGAGTGTGTTGTAGCTGTATTCTTTGATGTGGAAAAAGCTTACGATATGATGTGGAAGGAAGGATTATTCATACAACTGGACATCATGGGAGGTAACGTATATCATTGGATTATGGATGTTTCGTTTGGCCGTGCCATCAGAGTCCGAGTTGGCAATTCTTATTCTCGAAGGCATGAAGTTTAAAATGGAGTGTAATTAGTCCTCTTTTGGTCTCTATCATGATAAATGATATATAAACACAAGTAGGATCTGATATCGGTAAGTCACTTTTTGCAGATGATGGAGCTATTTGGAAAAGGGGCAGAAATGTAAATTATATTGTAGGTAAGATTCAGGAAGCCATTACGGAGATTGAAAGCTGGTCTCTGACACGGGGGTTTAGATTGTCGGTGGAAAAAACTGAAACTTTATTTGTTACGAGGAAAAGGAAAGGTGAGGAGGTTAGGGTAAAACTTTATGGACAAGAACTAAAGAAAGTGAAGACATTTACATTTCTGGGAATATGGTTGGACGAGAGAGTCACATGGAGTACTCACATTGATAAAGTAGTAGATACATGTAAAAGGGTTTTAAATGTTATGAGGTGCTTGGCAGGCACTAAGTGGGGCACTGATAAAGCTGCTTTGAGGAACGTATACACAGCTTTAATTAGATCAGCCATAGAATACAGACTAATAGTGTATGGTTCAGCTGCATACTCTTCTCTTCAACAATTAGATAGAGTCCAGGCACAAGCACTAAGGATATGCTGTGGGGCAGTCAGATCTACACCAGTGTCGGCTCTTCAGGTAGAGGTCGGAGAAATACCCATTTTTTTTAGGAGAAAACAGTTAATTGTTAATTACTGGGCAAATCTACAGGGCCATAAAGATACTCACCCTACTAAACAAACTGTACAAACAAGTTGGGAAAGTAACAAAATGAAAAAAGAAAGTTTTTGTGTTTGTGTTTCTGAATTATGTAAAGAATTCAAAGTTAAAGAATGGAATATTAGTCCGACGGTGTTGTTATCAGCTGTTCCACCATGGTTGCTACCTCAACCTATAGTAGATTTATCTTTATTGAAACGGTTACATTCAATGAAAAACAAAACTAATGTGCAGGTTTATGTGAATACTGTTCTACATGAACACTGTTCTACATGAATACTGTTCTACATGAACACTGTTCTACGTGAACACTGTTCTACGTGAACACTGTTCTACGTGAACACTGTTCTACATGAACACTGTTCTACATGAACACTGTTCTACATGAACACTGTTCTACGTGAACACTGTTCTACATGAACCATATGGGCACTTTATACAAATATTTACTGATGGATCCAAAAATCCAGAAAATGGTCAAACGAGTTGTGCATTTGATGTTCCTGAATTAAAAGTAAAAGTGGGAAAGCGGACGAGTGATCATATCGCAGTATATACAGTAGAGATGATGGCTATCTAGCACTTCAGTGGGTAGAGGAAGTGCAGCCAATGCGAGTGGTCATTTGCTCTGACTCCAGCTCTGGAGAGTATAAACAACTTCTCTTCAGAATGTCCTCAGGATATTTTACATGAAATGTTACACATCATGTTTAGGTTAGTTCATCTGGGAATTGTTGTTCAGTTTGTGTGGGTTCCAGCGCATGTGGGTATTAGAGGGAATGAGGTAGTGGATCAACTGGCAACATGTGGTTTGAAAGCAAACCAGATTGATATTATGGTACCCATCAGTAGAGCAGAAGTAACATCTGTTACAAAAGTTGTTATCAAGCAACAATGGCAAAAACTATGGGACAGTAACACCAAAGGAAGACATACCAGATACAAAGGGAAGTAGGAACGGGAAGCACTTGGGGGAGTAGTAGAAGAGAACAGAGCATTAACAGCAGGATCACATTGGGTCACTCTGGATTAAACTCATCACTGCATCTGATTGGAAAACATCCAAATGGCAATTGTGATGGTTGCCAACAACCAGAGACAATACATCATGTATTTTTTAGCTGCCCGGATTATAACAGACAAAGACTCATTCTGAAAACTGCACTGGAACAACTCAACGTCAAGGACATGGATTTCAAGTCAATATACGAAAGTAAATCAAGAAATGAAGCAAACAAGCTGATCTTCAAATTCCTCAAAAGCACTGGTCTGAGGACAAGGATTTAGTATAAACATTTAATAAATCAACAGTAGGTGGCGATATATGCTCCAAGTGGAAGCGATTCGCCATTAAAGAAAAGAAGAAGAAGAAGAAGAAGAAAGTCCCTAAAACATCAATAGTGTGTGTTGATGGTGCTGCAGTCTCCGTCCTGCAGGGGGCGCTCTCCCCCGACTCTCTGCTCTCAGTGTCCCCGGAGATGATGCACCTTCCCCGGGTCACAGGGTCACTAACATGGCGTGGAGGAGTTGCTCGGTTCTGCTCAGACTCACCGGAGAAGATGCTCTACGGAGCTCCGCGAGGGGCGGCAGGTCAGTCACCGCATTCGAAAACAGGCTGCCTTTCCCGGCCAACAGACAGACGGAGCCCCGCTGCTCGGAGTTAGCATGTTAGCTTCTGAAGGACGCTTAGACTTAGCTGGGTGTTAGCAGCTAATTGTAGCATGGTGGCTAACAGCAGTTTGTTATGATCAGAGGTGAAGAAGGACTCAGGTGTTGTACTTTAGTAAAAGTAGAAGTACTCAGGTGTTGTACTTGAGTAAAAGTAGAAGTACTCAGATCTTGTTCTTGAGTAAAAGTAGAAGTACTCAGATCTTGTAGCTGAGTAAAAGTAGAAGTACCCAGATCTTGTACTTGAGTAAAAGTAGAAGTACTCAGGTCTTGTACTTGAGTAAAAGTAGAAGTACCAGAGTGTAGGAATACTCTGTTACAGTAAAAGTCCTGCATTCAAAATGTTCTTCAAGTGAAAGTATAAAAGTATTATCATCAAAATATAGTGAAAGTAGCGACAGTAAAAGTAGTCATTGTGCAGATTGGTCCATTTCAGAATAATATATATGATATGTTTTATAATGATTGATCATGAAAGTGTTCTCAAAGCTGGTAAAGGAGCAGCTAGTTTGAATGACTTTGTATACTGCAGGGTAGCTTGTGGATTTACTCCAGGTGGAACTAAAGTCTGATTTAACACTTGATTATATTTCACATCATTCATCCACATCTGTGAAGTAACTAAAGGTATTCAATACATGTAGTGGAGTAGAAGTACACCATGTACCTCTGAACTGTAGTGGAGTAGAAGTACACAGTAGCATAACATGAAAAACTCAACTAAAGTACAAGTACCTCTAAATTGTACTTAAGTAGTTCTATAGTGATGTTGCTATGTTACGAAAGTGATAAGGGATTTCAGCCTCTGCAGACCGTTAGCATGCACTAAACCAGGGGTCACCAACTTTTTTAGGGTGAGGGCTACTTTCAAAAAATAAAACAAGTCGTGAGCTACTTTTACTCCTCTTTTTAGTTTTTTGCAGTGTATATATTTAGCACATTTTAACATGATATGCTGACCTTTAACCTTTGTGTGCTGTTTGGGTCTGTGGGACCCCTTTCAGTGTTTACTAAAAGAACATGTATGCAATTTAATTATTTTAACCTGCGTTATTTGGGGGTGGACCTCACATCCTCTAGGGGGGTCCTCACCTCCTCTAGGGGGGTCCTCACCTCCTCTAGGGGGGACCTCACCCTGAGTTTTAAACTGAGTGTTTTCGTCGAGCTCTTCACATTGGAATGATTTCTCACTTTATATTTTACAGCTATAGGGGCGTAAAGCAGATCGCGTTCACACCAAAATGAGTTCCTGGGGGTGGATTAGGCAAATGAGCCGCTGACGTCACTTCTTCTTCTTCTGCTCAGGTTTTCCTGGCAGGCCGCAAACAACTTCACGGCGAGTACAGTAGGTGGCGGTATGCACCTTAAAGTTGCAATTCGCCAAAAAACCGAGAGAAGAAGAAGAAAAAAAACTTCCGCTTCCGCTGTATGCTTCTGTTTACCTTCCGACCTCAGACACGCTATGGAGTTGACGTTTTGGTGCTCGTGTTATAGCTTCGTAACGGAGTTATTTAAGCCAATAACCACAAATACAGATCGACCATTCAAATGCAATAGAAATGCTGAGTCGGAGGCGAAGGCGGTTAAGAAGCCTTAATAAAAGGATTGGACCACGAAAAGCACACGCTATGGACATGTTTCGCCGTAGGACAGCTGAGCATGATGACCGTTATCACGCCCAAAGAACAGCAATGGTACGTTCATTAACATTAATACTATCTAATGTAGGATTTATGGAGTTATGTAGGGCTAATTTGTGTCTTTGTATGTGTTCCAGATATGCGAATACTACGGAACGCGTTGTGTCCCGCGCTCTCTCTGGGTGAACAATAGAACATCGGCCTGGTGGGAGAAGGTGGTACCAACGTACACCAATGTGCAGTGGATCAAAGATTTCCGAATGTCCAAGGGCTGTTTTCAATTCCTCTGTATTCGCCTGGAAGCAACGTTGGGTAGACGCAACCTAAACAAATCGCCGCGGGGCAAGACACGCGCACAGCCCTTATGAGGCATCTGAACAGCCCTTATGAGGCATCTGAACAGGCCTTATGAGGCATCTGAACAGCCCTTATGACGCATCTGAACAGCCCTTATGACGCATCTGAACAGCCCTCATGAGGCATCTGAACAGCCCTTATGAGGCATCTGAACAGCCCTCATGAGGCATCAGAACCCATGAGGCATCAACAGCCCTCATGAGGCATCTGAACAGCCCTCATGAGGCATCTGAACAGCCCTTATGAGGCATCTGAACAGCTCTTATGAGGCATCTGAACAGCCCTTATGAGGCATCTGAACAGCTCTCATGAGGCATCTGAACAGCCCTCATGAGGCATCTGAACAGCCCTCATGAGGCATCTGAACAGCCCTTATGAGGCATCTGAACAGCTCTCATGAGGCATCTGAACAGCCCTTATGAGGCATCTGAACAGCATGGAAATTGTAAATTGACAATAAAGCTGATCTTTTATACAGTGCATTTGGTTCTCTCTTTTATTTACCACAGTCAACAGACACAATTACAATAGTGCAGACACACCTTAGTGCAAAGATTAAATGTCAGTACAGTATCAAAACAGTACTCATACTGTATATTTGTATATTAATGAGTATATTATGTTAAATGTGTGTTAAAGACAATGGGATGAGGTTGAAAGCTCTTTAAAAAGCTTTTGTATACATACATGTTAAGCATGCACACCTGAAGAACTACGTTACACACACACAGGTTAGTCTGTGTACCGCTGCACTGCTGCTGGTTTAAACAAAGACAGTCATGATGCTAGTGCCGTGCATGGAGGTTCTCTTTTATTTATCAGCAGCAGATCAATAAGTGTCAGTAGTATCAAAACAATATAATAACAGTGGCAATATATATATATATATATATATATATATATATATATATATATATATATATATATATATATATATATATATATAATAACAATAGGTAGGCTCAGCAGCAGACACACCTTAGTGCAAAGTTAGGTGTCAGTATTAATAACAGTGGCATATATATATAATCACAATAATACAAAATGAACTGTCCCAGGTGTAGGCAATTTGGGGTGAAGTGTCTTGCCCAGGGACACAACGACATCCTGACTGCAGTGGGGTTTGAACCTGTGCTCCCCTGATCCGAACACCAACGCACCAGACCACTGCACCACACGCCTCCCAACAAGTCATTGTACAGTTTATCAACGACGACAAGTCTTTCTTAATTTTTGTATTGAAGGCCTGTTGGATTTAATCAGCTCGCTTAGCACTGCCAGAAGCCCAGCCTGAAAGGTATTTTGTTGCTCCACCTCGATTCCTGGGCCTTGTGTGAATGCAGCAGCCGTTCGTCGTGCATCTCCTTGGCACGCAGGTCCTCATTCTCCTTGCTGACCATGGCACGGCGGTCCATCGCCATGATGGTGTCAAGGAAGCTGTCATCGCGTGCCCACTTTCCTAAGGTGAAATATGCAAGATACAAGATCAGTTTAATCGCAACAACGAGACAACATTGTCCAACATTGGACATGGTGCAGGCAGGGACAGTGTACAACATGCATTGTTTTGTGCTTAATGTATGCTTGAACTTTGTTTTATTAGTGGACATCAGTTAGATGTGTAACCTTCTTTCAAGGCCAGAGTAGTTACAGTGTAAGTGGATTGACATCTAACATAACATGGCTGAGTACAATTATAACAATCAATAAAAAAAAGGAAAAATAAATAGAATTTCAATTACATTTCTACTCTAAAATATTAGAACATCAGTCTTTGTGGCATGCAGGTAATCAACTGTTTAAGCTTTTACCATTAACATGTAGAATGAATGTTGCAAATGACTTGAAATTATAGCAACTAGGTAGCATTATGTCCAGCTAGCATGCTAATTGCTAACGTTATATTATCGTTTTATCCCGGAGGGGAAAACTAGTTTCTAATCCAGAGAGAAACACCTCGCCTGAAACACAGGATTAGTGCCATGAGTTAGTGAAGCAAATTACAGAACATTGCACACTTATTCACAAGTCAAAACGTGTTCATAGCGGGCACGGCTGAGAATAGCTAGCTAGCTAGATGTTATTAGCCAGCTTGGACCTATGATAGCAAGTTCGAGCATGGCTAGCTCGATCTACTGAGCAAATGAAAGTACATCTAAGACCAGTATTGTGCAGATTAAAACAGTGCAGTGCATGTATTTTATTTTACCTTCGTAGTCGTCCCGACATGACTTTGCCAGGTCTGCTAACTTTGCAGAGCCACGGAAACTGCATTCAGTAGAAGCTTCTGAATGCGGCGCTTCGCGTCCTCCGAGTAAATCGCCAGAAGCGCCGACACATCCTCATCACTCCACCGCTCCGATGATTTATTTAGTGTTGCTATAATAACTGCTTTCACAAAAGTAATCTCTTCGGGTGCGCTGGCCGAAGCGAGCAAATACAATGGCCGCTTACAAAAAAAAATTCAGAGTCAAACGGGCGTGGTTTGCATTCCGCACAGCCAATCAGACGTACGAACTATTTTCTCCCACAACAGTCCCTGCTCTCTAGCAGGGACTGAAAAGCGGGTCGGACGAACTAATTTGAGCTACTTTAGTTCCTGGGGCTTTTTGGTGTGAACGCAAATATATCGTAGTTCTGATGAACTATTGTGGGAAAAGTACTCCGGTGTGAACGCGCCTTATGACGGCTTGTGTTAAAAAAAAATTATACATTTATTTGTAAAGTGGGGGGACACAAACGGGATTTTGAAAAGTGGGGGGGACATGTCCCCCCTGGCCCACTGGAAATTACGCCATGCGTGTGTGTGCGTCAGGTTGCAGCACACACAGAGTAAGGCCCCGGCTCCACGGGGACGAAAACGGGTTGAATCCGCATATTTCTCATGCGTATAGCCCTCTAAGCTCGACGACGCCGTAACGGAAACGTAGAAACAGACCCCGCAAACGACAACGGGTCCAAAGGTGGATAGATCTGGGAACGGAGCGCTCTGGGGGGTCCAACGGGGCCGTGGGGTCGCCTATACGGTCATCCGTTTCATAGCCCCACCTCTCCCCACCTCTTCCCACCTCTCCGCGTACCCCGCATCATTGCTGATGTGTTTCGTTAACAACAATAGCTATTTTAATTACCTCTCAAACTACCTAAACTAGTTATAAATATGTTTATTTTTACTGTCGGGTCACTCATTACTGGATCAGCTGCTGCATGAGACAGACACTGACACTGTGAGAAGAGAGGAAAAAGAGACAGGCTCTGTGTATTTTATTATTATATATCATTATATCGTCGTTATTCATTTGTTTTAAAGCTCAATAAATAACAATGAAGACCTTTGACCGGCACTTTTATAATTTTGTCCGGAAGATTTAAACTTTAACACACGTTGACCGGCGAAAAACTCTGCCCGGATCCCTCGGCCCCCACCGCGGAGAATACACAGAAGTGCAGCCATGACAACCATTCTTCTTCGCTGCTTTTGTGGAGGAAGTTGCTGCTTTTGTGGAGGAAGTTGCTGCTTTTGTGGAGGAAGTTACAGCGCCACGTACAGGTTCGGCATATGTACTGCAGCTTTTCCAGCGTTTGGATGTAAACGGAGCCGTCTCGTGGAGCTTGACACAATCCGGTGTATATTGCGTGGGGACGGAAGGTTTTTTGCGGTTGCATTTGCGTTACTCCGATGCGTTTTGCCGTATGGGTTCCCTTGGAGCCTGGGCCTAAAGCTCTGCCCCTCAGGTGCTGCAGAGGCTGCTCAACTGGAGATTCTGCCAGAAGGGAAGGTCACACTCCTTATGAAGCGGGGAGCTGCCGCTCCACATTGCTTTTCTTCCCGACTTCAACGCTGGTCCCGCAAATCAAGCAAGAACGTGATTGGTCGATATTCATTGTGGGGGTGGGGGGAGGAGGGGTGTTAGATAGATATAGAGTTGTAGTAAGTAGATAGAGTTCGCTATGATTGAGGTTTCCTTCATGCAGAGGGTAGATTCTTTTATTTCCTTTTTTGTTTTGTGTATTTTTTTACATTTTGAATTTGCTTTGCGAGCTATTTTTAGAACATGCCCCGCGGGCGACTAAGTGCCCGCAGGCACCGTGTTGGCTACCCCTGCACTAAAACCTATAGAACTACAGGAGAGGGAACGTAAATGATGTGCAAATACGTATCTGCCACTAGGTTTTTTTGCACGACTAAATACTGTTCATATTGACATTGATGATGTCACCGTCTATATCCTGTAGTTATTCAATCAGCTCTTCTCACGGCTCTGTTAGTGAACGTGTATCACTGATTGGCCTTTTGAGACTCTGGCACAACCAGTTCCTTCGGGATAAAGAAAGTCTTACCTTAAGACTGATCTCAGTCTTAAAACCCCCCCCCCTCTCTGCCCCCTCCCCTCTCTGCCCCCCCCCCCCCCCCCCCCCCCTCTAACAGGATCAGCGTTCAGCAGCGCTGCATCTTCAGGAAAGTGACGAGGACACCTGAACAAAAGGGGGCGAAGCATAACCTGAAAGAGCCCCCCCCGGCTGAGGCTCCTCCCCCCGGACGCTACTCCCAGCGACCCCCCCCCTCCCCGCCAAGAGACTTCGGGCGCCTCCTGAAGCCCCTCGTCTTCACCGTGGGGGTAAATATCTCACAGACTAACCCCTAGATTCCACCGGGTCCGTCTGCGCCGCGTTACGGCTGCGCCGCGGTTTTGGTCCGGCCTCCTCCGGCGTCATACCCTACCGGGCGCGTTTCAGAAGCATTTCAGAAGCGGAGCGTCTTGCGTGCCGACTCGCAGGTTTTGTTGATTTGGGCATATTTCCTGGACAGGCTACTTTGTACAGACAAAGTTAATAATAACTGTAATATTCCAGTTATAAACGACATGAATCAAAGATGTGTTGCTGTATTTTAGTGGTAAAAAAATGCATTCATCATCATAATTATTCTATATATATAATTTACACAGTGCCTGTAAACCGGAGGAGAGCGCTGGCATTTCTCCTCCTACTTGAAAGACTACGGAGGGATAGGGTCTGCACAATTAGTTTGTGTGTGTGTGTATATATCTATATATATATATATATATATGCGCTATATATGCTCTGAACGTTCCACTTCCTGCCTGCCCGACCTTACGTTACGGCTGCGCCGCGACAAAAATAGGATTCATCCTAATTTTAGAGGAGCCCTGCGCCGAGCCGCTTCTGGGACGCTTCTGAGCCGTAACGCGCCGTGTGGTGGAATAGCACCCATTAGGGCTGTGCAATTAATCGTATTTTAATCTCGATTACGATTTTGGCTTGCAGCGATTACGAAAACAACGTAATTGAAATAAAACGATTATTATTTTTATAACATTTTTTTTTTTTTTTTTATTATTATTATTTTTTTGTATTGGTTTTTCTGTTGAATTCTACTTAAAGTTCAGGGTAATCAACTGTTAAAAACATACTGTTCACATATCTTTTTTCAATAAATGGATGTTTTCAAAGTAAATGGATAATTGTTTTTAATAATCGTGATATCAATTATTGACCAAAAATAATCGTGATTAGGATTTTTGCCATAATCGCACAGCCCTAGCACCCATTGACTAGAGCGCCCGTAACGCGCCGCAGACGGACCCGGTAGAATCTAGGGGAAACTCCTCAGGTCACAGACTAACTCCTCGGGTCACAGACTAACTCCTCGGGTCACAGACTAACTCCTCGGGTCACAGACTAACTCCTCGGGTCACAGACTAACTCCTCGGGTCACAGACTAACTCCTCGGGTCACAGACTAACTCCTCAGGTCACAGACTAACTCCTCGGGTCACAGACTAACTCCTCCTCAGGTCACAGACTAACTCCTCGGGTCACAGACTAACTCCTCGGGTCACAGACTAACTCCTCGGGTCACAGACTAACTCCTCGGGTCACAGACTAACTCCTCGGGTCACAGACTAACTCCTCGGGTCACAGACTAACTCCTCGGGTCACAGACTAACTCCTCGGGTCACAGACTAACTCCTCGGATCACAGACTAACTCCTCGGGTCACAGACTAACTCCTCCTCGGGTCACAGACTAACTCCTCCTCAGGTCACAGACTAACTCCTCCTCAGGTCACAGACTAACTCCTCCTCAGGTCACAGACTAACTCCTCCTCACAGACTAACTCCTCGGGTCACAGACTAACTCCTCGGGTCACAGACTAACTCCTCGGGTCACAGACTAACTCCTCGGGTCACAGACTAACTCCTCGGGTCACAGACTAACTCCTCGGGTCACAGACTAACTCCTCGGGTCACAGACTAACTCCTCGGGTCACAGACTAACTCCTCGGGTCACAGACTAACTCCTCGGGTCACAGACTAACTCCTCGGGTCACAGACTAACTCCTCGGGTCACAGACTAACTCCTCGGGATCACAGACTAACTCCTCCTCGGGTCACAGACTAACTCCTCCTCAGGTCACAGACTAACTCCTCCTCAGGTCACAGACTAACTATCTTAGGTCACAGACTAACTCCTCGGGTCACAGACTAACTCCTCGGGTCACAGACTAACTCCTCGGGTCACAGACTAACTCCTCGGGTCACAGACTAACTCCTCGGGTCACAGACTAACTCCTCGGGTCACAGACTAACTCCTCGGGTCACAGACTAACTCCTCGGGTCACAGACTAACTCCTCGGGTCACAGACTAACTCCTCGGGTCACAGACTAACTCCTCCTCAGGTCACAGACTAACTCCTCCTCAGGTCACAGACTAACTCCTCCTCAGGTCACAGACTAACTCCTCCTCAGGTCACAGACTAACTCCTCCTCAGGTCACAGACTAACTCCTCGGGTCACAGACTAACTCCTCGGGTCACAGACTAACTCCTCGGGTCACAGACTAACTCCTCGGATCACAGACTAACTCCTCGGGTCACAGACTAACTCCTCCTCAGGTCACAGACTAACTCCTCCTCAGGTCACAGACTAACTCCTCCTCGGGTCACAGACTAACTCCTCGGGTCACAGACTAACTCCTCGGGTCACAGACTAACTCCTCGGATCACAGACTAACTCCTCGGGTCACAGACTAACTCCTCGGGTCACAGACTAACTCCTCGGGTCACAGACTAACTCCTCGGGTCACAGACTAACTCCTCGGGTCACAGACTAACTCCTCGGGTCACAGACTAACTCCTCGGGTCACAGACTAACTCCTCGGGTCACAGACTAACTCCTCGGGTCACAGACTAACTCCTCGGATCACAGACTAACTCCTCGGATCACAGACTAACTCCTCCTCAGGTCACAGACTAACTCCTCCTCAGGTCACAGACTAACTCCTCCTCAGGTCACAGACTAACTCCTCCTCAGGTCACAGACTAACTCCTCCTCAGGGTCACAGACTAACTCCTCGGGTCACAGACTAACTCCTCGGGTCACAGACTAACTCCTCGGGTCACAGACTAACTCCTCGGGTCACAGACTAACTCCTCCTCAGGTCACAGACTAACTCCTCCTCGGGTCACAGACTAAATCCTCCTCGGGTCACAGGACTAACTCCTCGGGTCACAGACTAACTCCTCGGGTCACACACTAACTCCTCGGGTCACAGACTAACTCCTCGGGTCACAGACTAACTCCTCGGGTCACAGACTAACTCCTCGGGTCACAGACTAACTCCTCGGGTCACAGACTAACTCCTCGGGTCACAGACTAACTCCTCGGGTCACAGACTAACTCCTCGGGTCACAGACTAACTCCTCGGGTCACAGACTAACTCCTCGGGTCACAGACTAACTCCTCGGGTCACAGACTAACTCCTCGGATCACAGACTAACTCCTCGGGTCACAGACTAACTCCTCCTCAGGTCACAGACTAACTCCTCCTCAGGTCACAGACTAACTCCTCGGGTCACAGACTAACTCCTCGGGTCACAGACTAACTCCTCGGGTCACAGACTAACTCCTCGGGTCACAGACTAACTCCTCGGGTCACAGACTAACTCCTCGGGTCACAGACTAACTCCTCGGGTCACAGACTAACTCCTCGGGTCACAGACTAACTCCTCGGGTCACAGACTAACTCCTCGGGTCACAGACTAACTCCTCGGGTCACAGACTAACTCCTCGGGTCACAGACTAACTCCTCAGGTCACAGACTAACTCCTCAGGTCACAGACTAACTCCTCCTCAGTTTACAGGCTGCTCCTTCGGTGCGGTGGCGATCTATCAGTACGAGTGTCTGAAGGCTCGGGTGCAAAGCTACTTTGACGCGGTCCGCGCTGATGGCCTGGAGAAACCTCGGCCTCAGAAACAAGGAAACGTCCGCAAAGAGGTAACGGTGGGACGTCAACTCATTTATACTCATTTATTTATTAGCATAGACTCAAGAAATCTGAATTCTGATGGATGGTTGTTCAGTGTTGTTGATGTTGTTCTCAATCTGAGCTCTGATTGGCTGCTGCAGATCAACCAATGGTGGAACAGCTTGAGCGAGGGTCAGAGGACGGTGGCAGGTGAGACACTCTGCAAAACACATTTTATCAAATATGTGAAATGCGTTCAAAAAAATTCACAACATTGTGTTACGGTGTGTGTGTGTGTGTGTGTGTGTGTGTGTGTGTGTGTGTGTGTGTGTGTGTGTGTGTGTGTGTGTGTGTGTGTGTGTGTGTGTGTGTGTGTGTGTGTGTGTGTGTGGTGTGTGTGTGTGTGTGTGTGTGTGTGTGTGTGTGTGTGTGTGTGTGTGTGTGTGTGTGTGTGTGTGTGTGTGTGTGTGTGTGTGTGTGTGTGTGTGTGTTCCCAGGGATCATTGCTGCTAACGTCATAGTGTTTTGCTGCTGGAAGATCCCCTCTCTGCAGCGCTCGATGGTCGAATACTTCACCGCCTGCCCTTCCTCCAGTCAGTCTATCAACACAGCATTCACACTATAAACACAGCATTCACACTATCAACACAGCATTCACACTATAAACACAGCATTCACACTATCAACACAGCATTCACACTATCAACACAGCATTCACACTATCAACACAGCATTCACACTATAAACACAGCATTCACACTATCAACACAGCATTCACACTATCAACACAGCATTCACACTATATTTGGGCTTTTTCAGGCATAAAATGTTCTTATATTTTTCAACAATCTTTCACGTATATTTAGATATTATTTTACATTTTTCAGATATTTTTCAGAAAATGTCGACATCTTTTTTTACCACATTTTCAAGTATATTTCTTTCTTTTTTGTCCACACATTTAACAAATATTTTTCTGACATTTTTCAGATATTTTTTAGGGAATTTTCATATGATTTATGGACATTGTTCACATCAAATTTTATTACATTTTCCACCAGTATTTTCCATATTATTCGGACATTATTTTAAATATTTCAGTTATTTTTCTTACAACTTTTTGAATATTTTCCACCTTTTTTTTAAGGCTTTTTTTAACCATATTTTCTCACATTTCATCCGGACATTTTGCACATATTTCTGGGAAATCTCTCGGACATTTCGACATATTTTTCTATGATCCTTTCTAACGTGTTTCCTGTGTGTTTCCCCCCCCCCGTTAGAGAGCCTTTATGCCCCCATGCTTCTCTCCACCTTCAGCCACTACAGCGTCTTGCACCTGGCGGCCAACATGTACGTCCTGTGGAGTTTCTCCTCCAGCGCCGTGTCCATGTTGGGCCGAGAGCAGTTCATCGCCCTCTACCTGTCCGCAGGTAATCAATAAATACATCAGAATCACACGTACGAGGAATTTGACTTGGTGTCGTGGTGCAAACATAAAAGTAAATCATTTTGTTTAAAGATTTTAAAACTATTTTAAGAACACTAGTACTAATGACATTAAAAAAAAAATAAGAAAGAAAATAGGAAAATATAATAAGTCGTAATTAATATGTGAGAAATATTTCAAAATGTTCAGAAGTCCAAAATATATGTGAAGGATATAAAAAATCGATGGTAACAATATCCATTAATTATCTGCAAAATGACAGAAAAAATCCTAAATAATGTCCAAAAATATGTGAAAAATATTTCAAATCTTCCAAAATATATGTGAAGAAGATAAGTAGAACATATTTGGAAATTGTCTGAAAAATTTCCTAAAGATATGTTTAAAACGTCTAAATAATAGGCAAAAGATATTTCAAAATGTTCAGATATCTTCAAATATCTTGTAAATGTTCAATTTAATATCCAAAATATGTGAAAGATATGAAAACATTTATGGTAACAATATCCATTAATTATGGTCAAAATGTCAGAAGAAAATCAAAGAAATGTCCAAAAATATTTCAATCTTGTAAAAAGTCAAATTAATATCCAAAATATATGAGAGACTTAAATAAATGTGTGGTAACAATATCCCTTAATAATGTGACAAATGCCTAAATCAGGGGTGGGGAACCTCTTCTGGATTCAGAGGTTGCTGTTTCTTTGCACAGCATGAAAGAAAGTCCAAATGAATGGGCTGTGATTTTAGGTTTTTTAAGCAGAGGTCAATAATTTGTATGTTGAAAAAATTGAAATGGCCCTTGAGAGGAAAAAGGTTCCCCACCCCTGGCCTAAATAGTCAATGGAAAATATTCAAAAATAATTCCAAAAACATGATAAATTGTGAAGATTGTGTGAAGTCGTACAGATTCTGTATAAATAATTGTCCGTGTTATCTATTTATTTCCTCTCCTCTGTCTGTCTCTGTCTGCAGGCGTCGTCTCGTCGTTCTTCAGCTATTTCTGTAAAACAGCGACCGGGAGGTTCGGGCCGTCTCTGGGAGCCGTGAGTCCAACACTGATTTAATCAGACTCTTTATTTTCGGGGGGAAACAACATATAGAAAAATTAAATAAATGTGCTTCTTATGAGAGTTTTAATACCTCAGACTTGTCGGAAGATTTCTTAAAAAGAAGCAAAAATTACTATTATTATTAAATTGAGAAAATCCCCCAAAAAAGAGTCGTAAATTAAAAATGAAATCTCAGAGAATATCAGGTATTTTTTTGTAAATAAATCCCTTTATTTTCACAGAATATCCATTTTCTTAGTCTCTTCATTTCCCATTTTACTCAGATGCCCCTTTCACACCAACGCGTTTTCTGAAAAGCGCCGTTTTTTCCTGTTCACACCGCAGCGGCGCCGCCTCTTAGCTCCTGAATCCGGTTCACTTCCAGCTCCAAAAAATTGTCGGTCTAGAGGCAAGAGCTTCGGAGCTAGAGGCGGCGTCGCTTACGTCTCTCTACGTGGAGGCGTGCAGGAAACTAAACCCACCTCCCCTGAACATGGGTCGACTGAAGAGTCTCGTCATGCCTGCCTACAAGAAGTAGCGCTGAGCAAAGTGACTAGAAGGCAACCACACACTTATAAAGAAACACACTTTCTAAAGTCAGGCAACACTAACCAGGCTTCGTGTGATTCTGTTTATTTGTACCTTACTTTGACCATCCGTTCGCTGTTATTGATCATTGTGGAGAGCAGGCAGACGTTTGTTATTATAGCAGCTATCGGATGGAATCAATACATGGGCTGCACAGGTTGTCATGTCCGACTATCACAAGTAGAATCATAATGAAAGATACGCCGGTAAAAAGTGCCTGTAGAACACGGCTTAGCAAGTAGTCAGTTTAGCTTCGGTTGCTATGCTAACATCACCCATGTTATACCAGAGAAACTTTCATAACAGCGTTGTGATGCCAAACAGCGTCAATTCAGACTGACACACATTCACTTAAGGGGAACTGGGGATATGTATCAGCTGCTTGTGTGACAGTCAGACAGTGAATACTTTAGAGCCGTGTGAGCTAACCCGGAGCTAACGGGAGAATAAACTCCCGTTGAAGAGCAGCCAGCACTGCAGCGGTCGCTAAATGAAACACATTAATAAACAATGAACCACGGCACTCTGGAGAAAAGTATAAGGTTGGAGAAGTCCTTATTTAATTTAATCTGGCTTCGTATGATTAAAAGCAACACGATCATCGACCCGACGCAGTCCCCGGCCCGTTGTTGTTGTTGTTGTTGTTGTTGTTGTTGTTGTTGTTGTGAGCTCCGTTGGGGAGAAAATCAGCGATGTAAACGGTGACGTCATGACGCAGCAGCGGCAGCTCTGGGCGGTGTGAAGAGAGCGGGAGCTGAAAAGGGAAACCGGAGCTGAACCAGAAAAGCTCTAGAGGAGCTAGAAAGGGAAAAGCTGGTGTGAAAGCCGCATCAGAGAATATCCAAAGTTTTCCAAAAAATAAGCAACATTTATTATTACTATTATTAAATTGAGAAAATCCCCCAAAAAGAGTCGTAAATTACGAATGAAATCTCAGAGAATATCAGGTATTTTTCTCTTAAATTTCCATTTTACTCTTAGAGAATATCAGACAAAGAAATGTGTAATTCACGTTTTAAATCTCCTATTTTCCTGGTAGATTTTCAACGTTATTGTCAGAGAATATCCGGCGAAAAAACGTGTGAATCTCCAAAAATATGCAGATTATTTTCCATCAAATGTTCAGTCTTTTTCTCAGATCATATCCCTGATATTTCCTTATTTATTTAGGTTTTCTATTTCAAATTGTTTATTTTTCAATGTCAATTGTTATGCAGCCAAACAGAAGGACATATCCAGTGTGTGTAATATTAAAGGTCCCTTATTATGCTAAATGTCCCATGTGTGTTGAGAGACTCAGAAAGTGACAGTAAAAAAAGAAAGTGTTTATAGCCTAATGTAAAATTCATATTTTTTCAAGGTAAATTAAATCCTGTTTCGTGTCTGTGTTCCCCGTTGCCTCCTGTCTGAGGATTGTTAGTGAATAATCAAAATGATATGAATCTGTGTTTCAGTCCGGAGCCATCATGACCGTCCTCGCTGCCGTTTGCACCAAAATGCCCGAATCTCAACTCGCCCTCATCTTCCTCCCCATGTTCACCTTCAGCAGCGCCTACGTGAGTGACACTTCATTTCTCTCTTTTATCCAATAAGTGCAGGAACCATAGAGGTCCAAACTCTGGACAACAAGGGAAGTGCAGATGTATTCACTTCAAGCGCGTCATACCATAATAAGGGCTGATTAAATGCTAATTAAATTGAATTATGACTTTTTTCTGAAAATGTCAAAAATGCTGACTTTGTTCAAAAATGCTGATTTTTTTTCCCCTCAAAATTCGGACTTTTTAAAAAAAATCGGACTTTTTTAAAAAAAATGCAGACTTTTTTCAAAAAATCTGACTTTTTCAGAAATGTAAGAATTCAGATTTTTCTCGGAAAATGTAAAAATTCTGAATTTTTCCAAAAATTCTAAATTTTTCCAAAGATTCTGACTTTTTTCAAAAATGTAAAAATTCTGACTTGTTTACAGAATTCAGACTTTTTTCAAAAATTCTGACTTCAATCTTGTAAAATGTCAGGCTTTTTCAAAAATAATATTTACGTCCTTTCGTTACCAGGCGCTGAAGGCAATCGTTGCCATGGACACGGCCGGCATTGTTCTGGGATGGCGATACTTTGACCACGCGGCGCATTTAGGAGGATCGTTGTTCGGGATGTGAGTTCAACCCTCCATAATAATAATAATAACAACAATAATATATAAATAAAATGTTTGTGTAGTTAAAAAAACAAAAATTGACTACATTTCCCATGATGCTCTCTGTCCCCTGCAGCTGGTACATCATGTTTGGTCAAGAGTTGATCCGGAAGATCAACACGCCGTTCGTTAAGCTTTGGCACGAGCTGAGGACTGGGGGGGGGCGGGGCGGAGGAGGAGGGGGTGAGGGGGGGGCCGTGTGAGAGCCACCGGGGCTGATGGGAAATAAAAAGCTGTAGAGATGTATACATGTACAGAATCTGGGTATTTATAAAAGCTGGTCACATGATGCATATTTTCTCTTTGTTGCGATGCTAGGACAGGGGGGGGGCGTCTAGGAAAAATATCTCAAAATGTACTTTATATTCTGGGGATATTCCATATTATTTTTTTACATATCTCGTGATTGTACGAGTTAAATCCCAGAAAATAATCCCTTTTTGTGGTTTATGACTTGAATGATCCGTTTTATTATGTAAATATTACTCAGAAAACAATAAACAGATCTCTTAATAATAACAGATTCAGACTCTGTTCACATTTGTTTTTTTTAACTTAAAGTGGACCTATCATGCTATATTTGAATAATATAGTGTAGGACCATACCTATATAAGGTTTTTCAAAATACCAAACAGATCATGCATTTTAGCCATGCCTCATTTCGCTCAATTTGAAAATGTTTAGCTCTGTTTTAGCAAGGGCAGATTCTGTGAGAACAGCACCACCTACAGGCCTGGCATATGTACTACAGCGTCTCCAGCGCTTTCGAACGGCAATGGCCGTGGCTGTCTCCTCCTGATTGGTGGAGTTGGCCCAATAGCCGTAGCGCCACCGTCCTGACGTCAGGACAGTGGCGCTACGGCTATTGGGCCATTCTCATTTCATCAAATCCCCCTCCTCGACTCCTCGACTCCTCGACTCCTCGGTCCTCCGGTAGTGACCCGGAAATGAATTTTAGCGCGCCATGTTGAAGGACATCTCATTTCTCTAAATGCACATCGAGGACCGAGCATTAAAGTAAACAGATATGGTTCTAAACTGTATTGAAGTAAATTATTTTGAATTGTATTTTAGTGAACATGTATTGTTTGAACTGTTTTAAGTAATCACATATATACATATTGTATTCTCACTTACAACTCACTGACCCAGAGATCCTGTTTCACACACATACACCTCCTCTCACCAGCACACACACATATTCTTTTCAAGGTCCTTTCTGGGCATCAATATATCTGTGCACAATGTTTGGTTGTCTGGGAAAGAATAGTTTGTGTGAAATATTCCTTGGGAAAGTAAAGGAGTGAATACAGGTGCAGAGATAAGATTGACTCTGTCCTTGTGTACTTCCGAATCTCAGATGAAAACATACTTTTTCTCAGAACTCTGATTTGCTGTATTGGACCCGACCAGAAGTGAATCCAACCAGTAGAAACACCTGGGGGAGTGAGCAGCTCACACAGCTCCTCCCCACGGACTCTCTGATTCGCTTCGGAGTAAAATGGGAAGTCAACCCATCTCCGCCCCAAAATATGGATATGAATACTGTTGTTTTTGCATGTAAAATGCTTCCTGTTTTCTGACTGGCTGGTCCCGATACCTGTATCGCACGGCAGTGGAAATTGAAAGTTCGGAGTACTCTGTAAACTTGTATAAGTGTTTTGTTTGTTACCAGTAAAATCAGATTATTGCTATAACCTTTATTCCGGTGTTTTGAATTCCTTTATTAAATATAACCAGCCTCATCTAACGAACGGCGCGTAGCGGAGGGGGGGCTTTAAGCCACCATCCAAAAGTATTTGCTACAACAGCATCGAGCGTGGAGGAGGCTCTCTGGAGGAGCTCTAACTGAGGATACACTGATGGGTCCTCCACGGTCCTCCACGGCTCCTTCGTGGATGCATTTCCGGCAACAGTGATGTTTCAAAGAGTCGTGGCGCACGGCCGGACTGATCTCAGCCAATCACAGCTCTGCATGCATCCCCTGGATATTATTTTATTAACTGCTTTCATCGTGACGCGATGTTTACAGAGAGAACAGCTGTGAGGTCCGTGCAGAAAGCAGAGCAGTGTGTATAATATATATCACTCAGTATAACAGGCCTACTCTCTTTATTTGCTTTAGTTTAGTAGATATCTACAAACAAAGAGTCCAGATGTTTCTAAAACCATTTAGTGCTTCACAAAATAAAATACACAACGGCTGTAGCCTGATGATATGCTTTAGGAGCTGTAGGTGCGTGTGTGTGTGGTGTAGGTGCGTGTGTGTGTGTGGTGTAGGTGTGTGTGGTACAGTGTGTAGGTGCGTGTGTGTGGTGTAGGTGTGTGTGGTACAGTGTGTGCGTAGATGCAGCGGACAGACAGGTCTCAGTTGGTTTGGTGTCCTCTGCTTACCGTAATTTATTTTCCTCATTGTAGCGACCAGAGAGGGGGGGGGGGGGGGGGATATATCCAGTCTCTGATAGTAAACAACAACGTGACGTAAACAACAACGTGACGTAAACAACAACGTGACGTAAACTACAACGTGACGTAAACTACAACGTGACGTAAACAACAACGTGACGTACAACAACGTGACGTACAACAACGTGACGTACAACAACGTGACGTAAACAGCAATGTGACGTAAACTGCAACGTGACGTAAACAGCAACGTGACGTAAACAGCAACGTGACGTAAACTGCAACGTGACGTAAACAGCAACGTGACGTAAACAGCAATGTGACGTAAACTGCAACGTGACGTAAACAGCAACGTGACGTAAACAGCAATGTGACGTAAACTACAACGTGACTCTGCCGTCTCACGCTCCGTTTGATTCTCATATTTCTGGAGGAATTATACAGTTTTTGAGGAACAGAAATATTGTTTTCTGAAATCACTTTAACATTTTACAGGAAATCTGCATTTTGGTTTGAGGGCGCAGACAAATCCTTGATGTGAGTTTTGGTGGAAGGGGTTTCATAAAGATTAAAGTGCTAATTTTATGAGCGAGTCTTGTGTATTTCCCAGATTCAATCATACATGACACAAAACCACAAATATTCTTGAGATGAACCTTCGATTAAAGAAGTGAATAAAACAACAAAAAAACTGCTAAAAGTAATAATTTGCTGGATTGAGTCGTACATTTACGAGAAAAAAAACTGATGTACACGTAGATATTCACTGGTAATCATTTTGTCTTCATGACTTTACATCCTGAGATGGAAATCACAAACAAAAGGGAAGTTAGTGGTTTTAGTTTGAGAAATGAAGTTTTAGTCAAACATTTCACTGGAAGCTGTTTTGATGATCTGGAGAGAAGAGAGGATCAGTGATGAGCAAACATGGAGTCTGATAAACAGGTTAAAGTCCACACACACACACACACACACACACACACACACACACACACACACACAGTTTCTGTATACAACTGTACATACTGATAATAATACTGTGATACTGTCACTACTACACATCTTCATATTAAGAGGAATTAAAACTTCTTCATTCAAAAAGATCTTCCCTAAAGTAAATAAGGTTTTTAATTAATAAGATATGCTGTATATGTAAGGGATAATTATCCCGCTTATTACACGGTCACATATCAAATAAACCAACGACTTGACTCCCAATATTTATGCAAAATGATTGTATCTGTTCCCTAAAGTCTTAGCGTTAGTAACCCTTTAGTTCCACCTGGAGTAAATCCACAAGCTACCCTGCAGTATACAAAGTCATTCAAACTAGCTGCACCTTTACCAGCTTTGAGAACACTTTCATGATCAATCATTATAAAACATATCATATATATTATTATGAAATGGACCAATCTGCACAATGACTACTTTTACTGTCGCTACTTTCACTATATTTTGATGATAATACTTTTATACTTTCACTTGAGGGACATTTTGAATGCAGGACTTTTACTGTAACAGAGTATTCCTACACTCTGGTACTTCTACTTTTACTCAAGAACAAGATCTGAGTACTTCTACTTTTACTCAAGAACAAGATCTGAGTACTTCTACTTTTACTCAAGCACAAGATCTGAGTACTTCTACTTTTACTACAAGATCTGAGTACTTCTACTTTTACTCAAGTACAAGATCTGAGTACTTCTACTTTTACTCAAGAACAAGATCTGAGTACTTACTTTTACTCAAGTACAAGATCTGGTTTACTTTACTCAAGTACAAGATCTGAGTACTTCTACTTTTACTCAAGAACAAGATCTGAGTACTTCTACTTTACTCAAGTACCAGATCTGAGTACTTCTACTTTTACTCAAGAACAAGATCTGAGTACTTCTACTTTTACTCAAGTACAAGATCTGAGTACTTCTACTTTTACTCAAGTACAAGATCTGAGTACTTCTACTTTTACTCAAGTACAAGATCTGAGTACTTCTACTTTTACTCAAGTACAAGATCTGAGTACTTCTACTTTTACTCAAGAACAAGATCTGAGTACTTCTACTTTTACTGAAGTACAAGATCTGAGTACTTCTACTTTTACTCAAGTACAAGATCTGAGTACTTCTACTTTTACTCAAGTACAAGATCTGAGTACTTCTACTTTTACTCAAGTACAAGATCTGAGTACTTCTACTTTTACTCAAGTACAAGATCTGAGTACTTCTACTTTTACTCAAGTACAGGATCTGAGTACTTCTACTTTTACTCAAGTACAGGATCTGAGTACTTCTACTTTTACTCAAGTACAGGATCTGAGTACTTCTACTTTTACTCAAGTACAGGATCTGAGTACTTCTACTTTTACTCAAGTACAGGATCTGAGTACTTCTACTTTTACTCAAGTACAAGATCTGAGTACTTCTACTTTTACTCAAGTACAAGACCTGAGTACTTCTACTTTTACTCAAGTACAAGATCTGAGTACTTCTACTTTTACTCAAGTACAGGATCTGAGTACTTCTACTTTTACTCAAGTACAATATCTGAGTACTTCTACTTTTACTCAAGTACAAGTTCTGAGTACTTCTACTTTTACTCAAGTACAAGACCTGAGTACTTCTACTTTTACTCAAGTACAAGATCTGAGTACTTCTACTTTTACTCAAGTACAAGATCTGAGTACTTCTACTTTAACTCAAGTACAAGATCTGAGTACTTCTACTGTTACTCAAGTACAAGATCTGAGTACTTCTACTTTTACTCAAGTACAAGATCTGAGTACTTCTACTTTTACTCAAGTACAAGATCTGAGTACTTCTACTTTTACTCAAGTACAAGATCTGAGTACTTCTACTTTTACTCAAGAACAAGATCTGAGTACTTCTACTTTTACTAAAGTACAAGACCTGAGTACTTCTACTTTTACTCAAGAACAAGACCTGAGTACTTCTACTTTTACTCAAGTACCAAATCTGAGTACTTCTACTTTTACTCAAGTACAAGATCTGAGTACTTCTACTTTTACTCAAGAACAATATCTGAGTACTTCTACTTTTACTCAAGTACAAGATCTGAGTACTTCCACTTTTACTCAAGTACAAGATCAGAGTACTTCTACTTTTACTTTAGTACAAGATCTGAGTACTTCTACTTTTACTCAAGTACAAGTTCTGAGTACTTCTACTTTTACTCAAGTACAGTCTAGTACTTCTACTTTACTCAAGTACAGATCTGCAGTACTTCTACTTTTACTCAAGTACAAGATCTGAGTACTTCTACTTTTACTCAAGTACAAGACCTGAGTACTTCTACTTTTACTCAAGTACCAAATCTGAGTACTTCTACTTTTACTCAAGTACAAGATCTGAGTACTTCTACTTTTACTCAAGTACAAGACCTGAGTACTTCTACTTTTACTCAAGTACAAGATCTGAGTACTTCTACTTTTACTCAAGTACAAGATCTGAGTACTTCTACTTTTACTCAAGTACAAGTATCTGAGTACTTCTACTTTTACTCAAGTACAAGATCTGAGTACTTCTACTTTTACTCAAGTACAAGATCTGAGTACTTCTACTTTTACTCAAGTACAAGATCTGAGTACTTCTACTTTTACTCAAGTACAAGATCTGAGTACTTCTACTTTTACTCAAGTACAAGATCTGAGTACTTCTACTTTACTCAAGTACAAGACCTGAGTACTTCTACTTTTACTCAAGTACAAGATCTGAGTACTTCTACTTTTACTCAAGTACAAGATCTGAGTACTTCTACTTTTACTCAAGTACAAGATCTGAGTACTTCTACTTTTACTCAAGTACAAGACCTGAGTACTTCTACTTTAACTCAAGTACAAGATCTGAGTACTTCTACTTTTACTCAAGTACAAGATCTGAGTACTTCTACTTTTACTCAAGTACAAGATCTGAGTACTTCTACTTTTACTCAAGTACAAGATCTGAGTACTTCTACTGTTACTCAAGTACCATCTGAGTACTTCTACTTTCACTAAAGTACCATCTGAGTACTTCTACTTTCACTAAAGTACCATCTGAGTACTTCTCTCTGTTAAAAACAGAAACTCTGGTGTGAGTCGATGTGTTTGTTCAGGTCCAGGTCGTTGAACCTGAACCTGAACCTGAAGATCGGATCAAGACTCACAGAGAGAGAGGAGCTGCTGACGGTTAGTTTGTTCCTTTCCATGGTGTACTACTCTGCTATTGTTTGAACTTATAGTGCCTTTTATAATTAATAACGTGAGCCTACTTTGTTGTTTTCTATTTTTAAATAATACGTCTTTTCTCTTGTACTTTATCCGTGCTATATTTCTGCCGTTACAATAACGTATATTTCCCTGATTCTCATTCTGAAATACGTGTTTTCATGTTAGAGAACGTTCTCTAAAAAGCTTTATTCTGGGGGGAAAGAGACGTTAGAAGTTAGCTGGAACAATAATATTAAACTTTATTTATATAGCAACTTTCAAAAAATAGTTACAAAGTGCTTTCAGTAACTTAAGGGAAAGATAGATGTGGACTCACTCCAGGTCTCCGTGCTGCCACTGAGTACATCGACCACTGAAGGACAGTTATTTCTATTTAATGCTGCTGTTCGGATGTGACTGTGTTGACAGATCAAAGTACAAATACTGTGGTCTTTAAGAACTTTACATTACAAACTAAAGTCTTGATTTCAAAATGTTACTCAAGTAAAAATTCAAAACTACCAGCTTTAAAATATAATCAAAGTACAAACAGTAAAAGTATTAATAATAGATAATAAAGACAAAATGACCACAAATCATTTTAAAAAGAGGTAACACAACTATTACTATTTACTCTGCCGACTCATTTTGTAGTTCCCAGTGAGCTGATGGGGCCTCTCATAATCTACCCGTGATTTCCAGGTGGTTTCCAGGTGGTTTCCAGGTCACTACAAGAAGTTTCGAGGTGGTTTCCAGGATTTTCCAGTGCTCCCAAGTGGTTTCCAGGAGTTACAGGGTTTTGAAGGTGTTCCTGTGTACTTCCAGGTGGTTTCCAAGATTGTCCAAGTGGTCTCCAAGTGTTATCCAGAACTCTATAGGTGCTCCAAAGTATTTCTAAGAGTAGCCAGGTGATTGCAAGAAGACTCCAAATATTTCCGTGAGTGTTTCCAGGAGTTTCAAGAAGATTCCACGAAGATTCCAAGTGGGTTCCGTGAGTTTCCAGGTGTTTGCAGGAGTTCCCAGGTGTTCCCAAATATTTTCAAGAGTAGCCAGGTGATTCCAAGAAGATTCCAAGTGGTTTCCAGGAGTTCCCAGGTGTTTCCAAGTATTTCCAAGAGTAGCCAGGTAATTCCAAGAAGATTCCAAGGGGTTTCCAGGAGTTCCCAGGTGTTCCCAAATATTTTCAAGAGTAGCCAGGTGATTCCAAGAAGATTCCAAGTGGTTTCCAGGAGTTCCCAGGTGTTTCCAAGTATTTCCAAGAGTAGCCAGGTGATTCCAAGAAGATTCCAAGTGGTTTCCAGGAGTTCCCAGGTGTTTCCAAGTATTTCCAAGAGTAGCCAGGTGATTCCAAGAAGATTCCAAGGGGTTTCCAGGAGTTCCCAGGTGTTCCCAAATATTTTCAAGAGTAGCCAGGTGATTCCAAGAAGATTCCAAGTGGTTTCCAGGAGTTCCCAGGTGTTTCCAAGTATTTCCAAGAGTAGCCAGGTGATTCCAAGAAGATTCCAAGGGGTTTCCAGGAGTTCCCAGGTGTTCCCAAATATTTCCAGGAGTTTCCAGGTGATTACAAGAGTTTCCAAGATTAGCCAGGTGATTCCAAGAAGATTCCAAGTGGTTTACGTGCTTTTCCGTGAGTTCCCAGGTGTTTCCAGGAGTTCCCAGGTGTTCCCAGGTGTCTCTGGGCATGGCGGTGTGCCTGCAGGTTGTGGGTTTGATATTGGGCGTGGCGTCCTGGTGCCTGGCCTCCAGCTGCACCTCCTCCCAGCTGTGGAGGGTCAGGAGTCAGGTGGAGTCCGTGAGCAGCAGCCAGAGACAGTTTGAGGGGCTTTGGATGAGCTGCGCTGCCTCATCGCTGGGAAGCCTGCAGTGCATCCGCTTCAAAACCACCTTAGGACTCCCAGGTACACACACACACACACACACACACACACACGCACGCACGCACGCACGCACGCACGCACACACACACGCACACATACACACATACTCGCACACGGACGCATGCACACACACACACACGCACGCACGCACGCACACACGCACACACACACACAGACTCGCACATATAAAAAGCTAATGTTGGGCTATAAAGGAACTACAGCACGGTCACATGACTTCGCGTCACCACCGCTAAGCTAAAGGTGGCTAATGTTGGGCTATAAAGGAACTACAGCACGGTCACATGACTTCACGTCACCACCGCTAAGCTAAAGGTGGCTAATGTTGGGCTATAAAGGAACTACAGCACGGTCACATGACTTCACGTCACCACCGCTAAGCTAAAGGTGGCTAATGTTGGGCTATAAAGGAACTACAGCACGGTCACATGACTTCGCGTCACCACCGCTAAGCTAAAGGTGGCTAATGTTGGGCTATAAAGAAACTACAGCACGGTCACATGACTTCACGTCACCACCGCTAAGCTAACGGTGGCTAATGTTGGGCTATAAAGGAACTACAGCACGGTCACATGACTTCACGTCACCACCGCTAAGCTAAAGGCGGCTAATGTTGGGCTATAAAGGAACTACAGCACGGTCACATGACTTCGCGTCACCACCGCTAAGCTAAAGGTGGCTAATGTTGGGCTATAAAGAAACTACAGCACGG